AGAGTTTTTCCTCCTTTCATTAGACTTTCCTCCCATTCCACCAAATCTTATGCAGTACCCTAAACAATAATATATGCAATCTCCGTCTTGAGCTTACTCTGATAGACACTCTTCTTCGGAAAAGAGAGACACCCGCCCTAAACGACCCCATATTTCCAGAGAATCTTCTCAATGCCAACCATTTTTACCCCAATAAGGTTATAACAAGTCCTCAATGATTCAACCTCCTAGGATAAAATAAAAGGTGTAAAAAATTCTTCAGAGATGACATCTAACTGATTAAGGAGTGGTACCATCCTTATCACACGTAAGGTTATCTTCTTTACCAGGTTAGGCATATGAGAAGGGAAAAGTTGACTAACGAAGGCGTAATCCCCGACAAATACAAGATTTTTCATCTCCCATATTGGTTGAAGAAAATGATAATTCAACATAGAAGGTAAATGAAGAAAAACATTTCATGCCCTTTTAAAAGGATCAACATTAGGAGAAAAATTCCCTCTTCTCAGCCTCTTTATCTGACCTTGTTTGGGGGAACCTAAAATAGTTATGTCATGCTTCTTCTTAGACCGACTTTCCGAATAAGTCAAAACAAACTGAGGAACCCAAGGCTCTAGTATAATGCCAATCATAGAAACATTACCTTTCTTGAACCTATATGAAAAAGGTGAGAAAGCTCAATATATGAGAGCAAAATAATTTTACGTATCTACGGATAATAAAGAAACAAAATGAATTACCAAACACTTATTTTCGTCCTTTAACAGAACTAGCTTTCACCACTCCCATATAGGGTATTAAATCATCATAAAATGAGAGCAAAGCCACTTTCATGTTTTTATAAACCTCGTAGAGAAATGATCGAGTAACCAGAATCTTCGCCTCCGGTATGTGCACTCAACTTACCCAACAAAAGTGGGAGAGACAACATAAAATTCCTTGTGAGCAAGAGGGGAAATAGGCTTATCCAGGAAGTAATCTTTCTTGAAATACATCCAGCAGTCGATGTAGACCTTGAAGATTTGGTTCTTGGTGCGACAGAGAGAAACGAGCATGTGACCAAAAACATCCTTTGGAGTGGGATGTACATCAAAAATATGGAAAAGAGGTTTCGAGAAACTGAACCTAGTCTCCCATGGTATTCATACCAATACTGGAATATGAGGACAAAACCCTAAGCACAGGGATGAAGTTGTAAAGGGGGATGCAAAGATAATCCAAAACCTCCTTCTTAAAAGAGGCTAGTGGAAGTCGAACACACAACTTTCAAAAACTGCAGGAGTAAAATAGGATAAAACACCCTTCAAACTTGTGGAAACTCCTTTTCTCCATCAGAATTGGAAAAATACCCCAATTGGAGGAAACCCTTATTTTCAAAGGACCAGAAGATATTTCTTCCCCTTGAACAAAAACAAATTTGTAAGCTAAATACTCTGAATTAACCCAAGAGTAATCTCCTACCGCTATCGCTACCATCAAATTGGTTAGGTATCTAAAAATCTAAGGTCACAAAACAAAAATTAATTCGATGAGAAAGGAAGGATATGTAGTGATAACGGAAAAGAGGAAAACTAGAGAACAACGTCTAGCTTTTGTAAAAATTTCTAGTACAAGGATTAACGAATCAGATCTAACAACATGATAAAATCTGAGGGTAATTAATATCTTGTACCATCAATCAACACGGGGGTAAGAGACACTTAAGTACCCTAGGTAGGGTAATCATTCCCTAACATGCATGTTTAGAGTGATGTGTTAGCAAGGAGAAGGAAAAATGGATCAGTGAAAATAAAGTATTAAATACCATTGTCTCCCATTAATTGTGTGGCACACTCTAAACATTTCAATTTTAAAACAAAGTATATGAACCCTCGAAAAGTCGACGCAATCACTAAAGAATCCATGGTATCCAAGGTTCCCGGTAAGTCTTGGGGACAATTGTTCTTGACCTGCCAAAAGTACTAAAATAGCAAAGCCCATATTGATTCACTCTGCTTAGCCTAAGGTATAAATACTCTTACATGTCAATTTCAGGTACAATTTATAATCTCCACTTTTCTTTTACTCTTTTTTGGAGTATTAAACTGACTTAGGCGTTGGAGTGTCTTGCAGGTACACCCACCCCCTCCCCTACCAACATATCATACATTCACCAAGACACCATTGTAAATTAGAATTGATGATTCAAGATTCTTCATAAACAAACTACATTTTATTCTAGTTCCATAACAAAACAAGATTTGAATTGGGAACATATCCATTTTTGTTTATCAGAGAGAAATAATCTCTAATCTATTATTAGCCATTCAATTTGTGATTCTCTCTTCAGACTCAGTTAGGTGGTGGTGGGATCACTAATATGATAGTGTCTTTTTTAGTCAATTCTACTTATTCAACGTTTTTTGGCCTTCCAGGCATTTTCCTAAATTTGAGGGACAAAACATCAGGATACTTTGTTCTCATCCTTTTAAGTCTTCAACAACTTCACATTATATTCTCTACTGCAACTATGAGTGTCTACTACCTTTCTTAGTTTCCAAGAATCCTCAGTAGAAAATTTAGCACAATAAGATTTCCATTCACGTGCTTCCTTACACCTAACCATAATCCTTGTCTTGTCATTTTTAATGAACTTTAAATTTCTGCCAGATTGGACTTCATAAGAGGTAATTGCCTCCTTGAAATCTTATGTTGTACTAAAATAGGTTCCCACTTCCCATTTGTAATTAGACATATCCTTTTGAAGCTTTAAAATTGGATATTTCTTTCTCATAACTTTATTGCTATCATCACTATCACATTCACTTCCTAGATCATCACTTACATTATCACTTCCTTTACTATCTTCTTTGTTTGCTTCACACTTTTCTTTACCTTTTTTTCTTTTCACTTGTTTATCATCATCTTCATAGTCAATTAGGTTGCCCTCTTCCTCTTCTAATTCAGTATCATACTCATCAGAGTCATCATCTAATACTACCTCCATTGTACTATCATAATTGAATTTGTTATCGTTAGAACTGTCATCATCATCAGTCAGCCTTACAATATCATCAACCTCATCAGTCCTATGTCCAATATCATCATTTTCAACCTCACCAACCCTTAGACCATTATCATCAATTCCTACTGCACGAACATTATCTTCCCTTACATCTTTCATCCTAACATCATCTTCCCTTACATCTTTCATCCTAACATCATCTTCCCTAACATCATCTTTCCTAACACCATCTTTTCTAACATCATCTTCTCTTACATCAGTTTCCTTCAACATCTCCTCAAGCTCAACTTCTGCCTCATTAACTATCTCACTAAGGGGTATCTTATCTAACACAACTTCAGTCTCATCAGCATAATCAGGCTGTGACAACGTGTGTTGAATAAAGACTTAAACATTAAGATGAACCCTATATAGATCAGTAATCTCTAATGTCCCCTTGTCATCAACCAACAGATTCATCCCAGTAATAGGATCTCTATAATATATATTCTCTACACCTGTGTAACCTAGCTCCTTAGTAGCACCTATCAATTCAAAATAGCTCAACTTATCAGCATCTACTCTCAAATCAACAATCTCACCTCCTTCGTACACACTCATGTCCTCCGTAACAAATTCACCACTATGGTGTATTATAATGTTCATATATTCATCCATTTCAGACTATGCCCTAAATAGACACGAAGAACATAGATTTCAGAAAAGATTGATTTCAAAAAACCCTAACTACGAAAATTATAATTTTGCCGAAACTTACTTATGGTGAGTTGTGTTGTGGTCGTTTTCACCTTCAAGAACAGAATATGCCTTCGCTTCGCTCACAGCTTCTTCATAGAACAAAGCTACCAACAATAGTTGCGCTAGAGTTACCTTGAAGTGGTGGAGATGCGTTCTGATACTTTAATCCATTTGTTTTTCTATTTTAGTATTAAGATACTTTAATCCACCTGAAAAGAAATTTAAACACGTGTAATGCCACATATATGCCACATAAGCACTACCATTGACTTTGACTAACGGCCCAAACAAAAAGGATAAATGTGGTCTTTTTTAGAGAATTTAAAGATCACTTTGAAACTTTTTAAAAATAGGGGACCATAATGGACCCGGAGGTAAAGTTAAGGGACCAAAAAAGATATTTTACTTTAAATGTATTATTTTACAAAAAAATTATCATATTATTTCTCTACATTTCTTTTTATTGGGACCAACTTTTAGAATTGACATAGAACTTTTAAATTGTTCTGACGACTCTATTGAGAACACTAATATTTGAGTGTAGAGGGTGAGTAGCTTTTTCCCATTGAGGTGGAGAGTTCTTGGTGGTAATAAGGAGAATGTTCGTGGTTTTTTTTTATTGGAGATCTAGTTTACTCTATTTTGGGCCAATTCCTCTTTTTTTTACTTTTATTTTTAGTTTTGGCTTTTGTTTATTAGTTTAGGTGTGAACGATGTTGCTTGTTTTTATGGACGGTGTTGAGTTTTCGTTCAGTTACTTTTTGTACCTAATTGAATTCTCAATTGTAGCTTGTAGCGGATTGCCGTTGTTTTGATCTTCCTTCAATAAAACAGGTATGAACGTGTCAACCCATCAACTCATTTATCTTCTTTTTTTCAAATTAATAATTAAACAAATTTTACCGGTTATCAAAGAGTTAATTTAGGACATACTGCTCAATTTGTATCTCTAGGACAAACTCAATATGCTCATCAAATTATACTGTATTAGTATAATCAGACATCACCAAACATACAAATTTATCAAGTAACAACTAGTAAGAGAAAGATTTTTATACTGCTTGTGTTGATGACTTGATCAAGAAGTTAAACAAATATAACCTCTGAAGCCCATAAATTTTTTACAAATAGTTAATCACATAATAATCTATAAAATTACAACAATCTATAAAATTACAACAATCTTCTTAATCTCCCTAGTCACTCTAATCAGAAGGAAAAACCACCTAGCAGTATTTTAGACCATACCCGTAGTAGTTCATGTAAACTGAAACCGTATTAAAAGCTTTACTGATTTTAATTTTTCACCCTTCTTATCATACATAGGGACTGATCTGAATCCAGATTTTAGCTCAGGAACTGGCAAACATATTTGTCCACCAAAATCATCCTTTTCATGCTTATCATACTCTCTAACTTCTATACTAAGCAAAGCAAGCTCTGGAACACTCAAAGGAAAATCAAACTCCTCATCCCAAACAGGAAACCAATCGTCGTGAATTATTTTGGTCTTCTTATCGACTTTATCGGCGGGTACTCCAACAATACAAATCTGTTGTATATAAATTGTTCAAAGCCAAAACCGTCTTTTATCTTACGTGTCGGTGCTAAAGACAACGATAAGTACTCACCTTTGTGTAAAAGTCTGGAGGAGAGAATGTATCAAAGTGTGTTTTGCTAAAATCTAAGCTCCACCCATGTCCCAAATACACTTTCACCTATAGGTGGAAAAGAGAGGATTTCAAAATATGTCACAAAACTAATTGATTTAATTATCGAATAATAATATCAAACCTTCAATGTCTTCTTTGCTGGCAGAGTTTTTTTAGGATCAAAACACTCATTGTGCGGACCTTTTGCCAAAAGAAACTCAGGTTTTTTCACATAACCAGACCCTCCATTTGCTCTAAACATCCCTTGCATATACCGGAGTGATTTTCCATGCCCCTGAGAAAGAAAACACATGTTAATGTTGGTAACAAAAATACGCAGAACAAAAAAGTTGGAAAGTATGATCATGCTGATGTTGATTATTAACAAATACCACATCATGAATATTTTTATATAGAACATACGCGATGAAGGAAATCAATATAGTTTTAGCAGTGATTTTCACTGAAAAGAGCCTTCATCATAATTTCCTACCTGCATGTTAAGTGCTACCATCTGAGCTCCATACATCCATCCTATATGTGGCCTGTAATTTGAGGAGTTGACACGAGTTCCCTTTGGATACACTCTAATAATATTCTTCTGTGTAAACCTGAAACCATAACATGCAACCATCAGACACCACCAGATACGACACTCACATAGACATGTAGGTATTAACAATAACTTGAAAAGAAAAGTTAATAAATATAATCACATGAGCGTATGCGTCGTGTTGGACGTATTGGATACTAGCTAAACATGCCTCAAATCTAAAGTATTGTTGTTAGGTTTAACTATTTCACAAATACCTAACTATATCAGCTCCATAAGTGAGAGAAGCTTTTTCGAGTTCCATTTCACTCAAGCTCAAGCGCTTAACATTACCAGCCATAATTAGATGGTCCCTTATATTACCCTTGGGTTTACCAGCATGGATTGTAATCAAACGTTTGTACTGTGACACACTCTGTTGGTCTGGTTTTTTATCATGAGGATTGAAACCTTCTTCATCAACATCGCTTCCATTAAGCTGTCAAATTAGGACAAATAAAAAGATAACATAAACATATAGAGCTTATAAGATATAAATCGATTTGAAGAAAGTAACCATGTCTTTCTGCTCACTTTGTCATCAGCTTCAGAACTAAGGGCTGGTGACACCGATCCTTCTTCACCAACTTCCCTTTCACTGTCACTAGTATCCTTAAATTGTCTGACATCAAGATATTCCTTGGGTGGTTTCGTCGATATAAGAACTCGATCTTTTAGTGATTCTGGTGAGGGGAATTTTGTCATAGGTTCTGTCTGAGGTAAATACAGCATATCTCCAAATGTTTGAGTTGTCAACTACAAATAAAAAGTTCATCGTCACATTCAATATCCAGAAAAATAAAAACTTGAAGGATCAATTGTTAGAACTAGTTAAGATTTTTAGGTTGTTACATATTGGTTACAATTAGCTAGTTTACGTGTGCACGGACAATCAAGGCCGTCTTAAATTTCTAATATTTTTTGAGGCCCTGTATAGATTAGTTACGATTCAACTGTGACAAAACAACTGAGGTTTATTTAACTATTACTTAACCATGACAAATTATTATGAGGCCCTATATAGCGATTGCTTAACTGCGGCAAATTTGAGACCATGTGGGGCTACCTTGCACACCCTTAAAACAGCGCTGTGTGCATGTTTGCTTGCTGGCCAGTACTAAGTCATAACCAATTTGTAACTAACTACCTTTAAAACTATTCTATCGATTCTATCAATAATGTAAGAATACCTCTGCAACTTTAGCTTGAAGATCTGGTGTAAGATGATCTTCTAAAGTTATAATGACAGGGTAACGAGATTTAACAAACGCGTATTCTTTTATGGACTTCAAACATTGGAGAAGTGAGACAGGAGTGGTAAGTGTCCTGCAATAGGTCAAAAAATTCTAAATTTAATGGATTTATAAAGTTGCATTATCATGAATATCTCATAACATTGCAATATCAAAAGTCAAAAAAAAAAAGATTGAACTTAGGATCAGCAGTGTACCTTCCATGAACTACATCAATGTCATCTTTAGCTGAATTTGGCCACAAATCAAGTTCAATTACTCGGACGCCTAGTTGCAACGCTTTTATGATTGGCACATCGCTGCAATCGCTGCTTAGCTGATTCCCAGTTAGATAGGAATTGTGTCCTGTGTATATGAAATAATGTGACAATGGAGCATTCATATCATGATGTACCTGGCACATCACACATCATTGCTATTGTCAAGAAGAGGCCTAAAAATATTGAAATTAGCAACATTAATTAATAGTAGAATCCATCATAATATTATTCACCGATTATCTTAATAAATTTATTCGTGCAGACACTAAGGTATGTAACTAAGTTTCTTTACGACAAAGGCGTAAGCATTATAATTTAACCATATTAATTTACTAATAATCAAAATCAAAATTATTTTTATTCCGCATTCCGCATTCCCGCATTTTTTTAGGAAATCAAACTATAAAATAAAAAAAAATAAAAAATAAAAAAGGAAAAACACACACCTGTGATTTGAGAGGACCATTGAATTCATCAAACAACAAAAACTGAAAGAATTCTTCAACAGTGAGTCCCTCTCCTATCCCAGAAACACCGTCACCTCCGCCACCTTTTTCCGGACTCCCTTTCCGCGACTGCAGCGCATTTTCAACGATCCTTTTGGCATCATCTTCGGTGCAATCTGTTTCGCCTTGGTGTTCAAGGAAAAACCTTCTTAGCTGATCAGCGGAAATGAACGAACCACCATCGGAGAATTGCGAAAAAACTTCCTTGACATCCAACGGTGGCGCTTGCTCTGTGAAAGCGTATTTTCTGTTAAAGCATTTGAACATTTTGTAGTTATACGTGAATGTGGCCATTGTTGAATGAGATTAAAGGAAGTTTTGTAACTGCATTGGTTTGGTTAGTTACGATAACGGTAACATGAGAAGAAGAAGAGAGAGAAAATGGACGGTGATGAAAATGAATGGATGAAAGAAAGGATTGAATTCGTAGTTTACGAAGGCGTTAATGGAATTTCGTTTTTGCGGTTGAAGCGGAATGGATCCGTCTATACTTTTTCTTCTATCATAGAACAGATGAGAAATGATTTCAACACATGTTTGAATACAATTTTATTATATTTTAGAGAAAATGGATGATAAGGACGCTGTAAATTACTCTCTACTCTCTAATAACTAAAAATTTTAAATAAATGGTATAAAAAAAAGATTTTTTTTTTAATTATTTGTATGGTACAGACTTAGTATAGTGATATATTTTTATCAGATAATTTGGCTTGTCATCGGGATCAGTTGTTGAACTAAATGGTTTTAGCCCCCTTTTCAATTATAAATGCGGGAGAATTTAGAATTTAGGGTCCTCCCTGTCATATCCACTATCAATTATTATTGGATTAATTAATATTTATTTTAAATAAATAATATATATTTTTATATAAAATATAAATATTAATATATAAATATATAGTATGGGTATGAAACAATATGAATAGTAATAAATTTGTGTTTACATTCATATTTATTTATTTTAATGCGTAATTATTTGTGTTTGTACTGGTACCTATTTTATAGGTTTTTATTCTATATATTATAGCTATTTTTTTGAGATATCTATAGAGCATGAGTCAAATTACAATCCCTAAATAATATTTAGTGATGTTCAGGGAAGATTAATTTTCATAACTAGATTTCATTTTCTTAAAACTATAAATAATTTATTAATCGATCATTTTCAAAAGTAATTTTTATTTTTATTTTTGAATTTTGTAAAAAAATCTTTTTTCATCAAAAATAAGAAATTTCTTTTTTTCAAAAATAAGGTAAATTTTTTTTATTTCAAGATTTCTTTTTGTTACAGTTTTTTTCAAAAATAATAAAAATTTTAAAATTAATTTTTATTTTATTAAAAAATAATTCCGAAAATAAATAAAAAAAACTTATATTTTTTTTAGGTAGAAAAAAATGTCTAGGATAAACTTTTTTTCCAAAATTTAAAATTGTTTATTTATTTATTTTTGAAAAAAGAAATTAAAACTTTTTTTAATTTTTCTGTAAAAAAAAATTTTAAATCGTATTTTTTGTTTATTTGATAAAAAATTGTATTTTCAGGATTTCTTTTTTATTTTAGAACTTTTTTTATAAATAATGAAAAATCTATTTTTTTAAAAACATTTTTTATTTTATGAAAAAATATTGTTTTCCAAAAATAAACAAAACTTATTTTGTTTCTTTGGATTTTTTTTATTTTAGATAGAAAAAAATTAAAAAAATATTTTTTCTAAAAAAACATTTTTTTAAAAATTTATTTATATGAAAATTTTAATTTAGGCTTAATGTTTCTTTTAGTCCCTTAATTTAATTTAAAATTTTGTTTTAGTCTTTTAATTTAATTTAAAATTTTACTTTAGTCCCTTAACAAAAAATATTACGAACAGTCTCTTAACTAACATTATGTTATCTAAATTTGGTCTTTGTCGTTAGTTTTTATGGAAAAAAAACATTAAGTTTTGTCTTGTTGGACATTTAAAATATGACCTAGAATTTTATTATTTTAAATTGATTTAAAATGTTGAAATAAAAAAAAAGGTGAAACGTTCACTTCTGTTCTCTTCTTCCCCCAAAACGTAGTCGACAATCATAATTTCTTTCAACAACCACATCCATTTCAAATCTCAAATCTCTTCTCCACATTTGTCTTGAGTGCTCATATTGAGGAGAAAAATTGTCCAACGAACAAGATACAAGTGAAAATTTCTAAATCTCAAATGTTTTCTCCACTTTCGTCTTCAACAACCATTCGTCCTAACCCTAGAAGGTTCCAAATTCTTCACTTGTAATTTTTTGTGATGTTTAATGTTTCAGAAGTTTTTATATGTACAGGTTTTCAAGTATGTCATTTACTTGGAGAAGAAACTGGATCTGAATCTAGACCTAAGGTTTTCAAGTACCATGTCCAAGTGAGTTAAGTATGTGCAAACAGAGATCTATTATAGATTGGGAAAGGGAAAGCGATCGACTCTTGATGATTTCATTGAAATTGCGAATAAGGAAACTGAAACAATTCGGGTTTGAGAAAATGATGGTGAAAAATCTATTTGCAATCATCACATTAACACCGAAGCATCCAAAACTTGGATATATCTAGGTACTAATGCGCTGGTTGTAGTTGTTGCTTTTCAATTTTGACCATCTAGTTGAAGATTTTCAATTTTGATCTATTACTTTTTACAGTGAACGTTCCAGCCCGAGACTATCAATTCCATATTGCCCAAACTGTACTTTTTCAAAACACTTTGGTTGCCTTGCCAACAGGACTTCAAAAAACTCTCATTGTTATTGTTGTCATGTATAACTACTTTAGATGGTTCTGTGAGGGTAATGTAACGCCATAATTGTGCATTCATAAATTTTACTGTTTTACATCATGTATCATATCAATATGATCTTCCGATCATAGTGTCGCAACGGGAAAATTTGAGAATAAGCTATTGATTAACTTATCTAAGCAAAAAGCAAGAGTCACCATCGGACTTTATTGTTTTCAAAGGAATAGGAAAAAATCTAATAAAACCCACAAAAACATGCAAAGCAAAAAGCAAAGCACAAAGAGAACATGGTACAGAGGTTGGTTATGCAAAGGGAAAGTATTAGCATCCTAAACATCTACGGTACTCCGTAAGAACCTCTTGAAAATTTGTGTATTTGGTTAAAAATGGTTAGGCTTAAATGCAGTTTTGACCCCCCTAGTTTAAGGTTTTTGGAGTTTCGATCTCCCTAGTTTAAAAGCCAGGTTTCTAGTCCCCAAAGTTTTCAAATTTGGGATTTTTGAAGCCCCCTCCATCTGGCTGCCCAAAAAGTGACATGGCACAGGGAGAGTAATGCCACGTATTATTTTCTTATTTCTTATTTAGAATAATATTTTTTAAACATTTAAATAAGTGATATTAGTTGCCACAAACTGCTCAAAAAATATTATTTTTTAAACATTTTTTTGGAAATTAATATCACTTATTTAAATGTTTAAAAAATATTATTCTAAATAAGAAATAAGAAAATAAGAAAATAATACGTGGCATTACTCTCCCTGTGCCATGTCACTTTTTGGGCAGCCAGATGGAGGGGGGCTTCAAAAATCCCAAATTTGAAAACTTTGGGGACTAGAAACCTGGCTTTTAAACTAGGGGGATCGAAACTCCAAAAACCTTAAACTAGGGGGTTCAAAACTGCATTTAAGCCAAATGGTTATTTGCAATATGACTGGAGAGGTGGGAAAAGAATTTATTTTTTAATATTTTGATTCGGCAATACTTCGAGAGTTTTGTGCCTACATACCACTAATATGAAATGGTGAAATCAAAACCATGTAATTCTTCTAAAAAAGAATAAAACTTTGTGTGTTGGTTGATTTTAAATGAAAATACAAGTTGTCATTTTTAGGAGAAGATCAACTAATCGCCCAAAAAGTATGAGAAAAATGGACAATGCATCACATAAGAGAGGTCGTACACTTGGATAAGATCAACAAGTGCCTCGAGCGCTCAAGTGGAAAAGTCAACATTTTTGCAATCATGACCATGGGGATAGGAGAATGACATCTCAACTATGAATGATTCATGTTTAATATTGAAAAAGGTTTTAAAGGGAAAAGTGCACAAGGTCACAAAAAGGTTTGAATGAAGTTGTGTGTTTTTAAGTCTTTTGTGAAAAGGTTTAAACATGCTTATTTGGTTTAGCATTTGATTAAAGAAAAGAAGTTTTGAAAAGTCACTTGACAAGGTCAAGGTTTATTATGAAAGTGGTTCAAGTTTGAAATAAGAAGGTTTTGAAAAAAAGAGAGAAGATTTGAAAATTAAAGAAGATGGGCAAGAGATGAAAGGACTATTCTAAAGTATAAAGTAAAAGCTAAGATAGGAAAAAATCTAACCAAAATAGAAGTAAACTCTTGACATAGTCAAACAATACATCTAACTCCTTTGGAATAAAGCCACACAAGCAAGTAATAAGCATCAGATGAACCATAATGCCTCAGGTGCAAGCTTGGCATCAGATGAATCACAAAGGAGTGCATATAAATTTTCATGTATCAGATGAACTTGATGTCTTAGATGAATTGCATCAGATAAATTTCAAAGTAATAACACAAGCACACAGGAAAGTTCCCAACAAACAGACAAAACACAACCGAGGTCTCAGATGGGTCAAGATCACAAGGTCTAGAGGAAAGTCCTGGTCAAGGTTTTATCCTAAGTTCAAAGGTCCAAAATATCCATAAGTTGAGGATAGTAACCATAGTCCAAGAGCCTTAGAAGTCTTTTAATTTTTAAGTCTTTATTAATGTCTTGAATGAAAGAAGAAAAGTGCTCAAGGAACAAAAGAAAAAGGACATAAAGATAAAGCGCTCAAGTAGAAAAAGGAAAATAGCATAAAAGTAATATGCTCAAGGAGAAAAAGAAAAATGACATAAAATAAAGGCAAGAAAAGTAAAATGACAAGAATAATAAAGATGCTAAAATTAAATGACATAAAGCAGCTGACGGAATTTAAATTGCATTAAAGTAAAAGTTAGTACAATAAATATTAGAGTTATTATGGTAGTTTTTTGATTCGGGACAAATTTAGCGCTATGTTAACCAATCACATGCAGACTTATGTAGAAGTCAATACTATCGAGGTCAGTCAATAAAAATTTATGTATCATACATGTTAAAGATATGATAGAAACCATACTCCTAAAATATGTAGCACAAGTAAAAATAAAGATGGATCAAGACTAAGTCAAGTAGATGAGATCATTACTTCAATCAAATCGTTCATGGTATCTTAGGACAAACTTATCATCAATCCAAAGTACCTTGAGT